TAACTCACCAGTATCACAATCAGGAGTTATGCAAAGATTTTAAATGTTGATCGATTAACGACGCATGAGAAAATGTGACTTATATTGCTCACTAATGCAATAAATGTTTGGTATACACTGAGTGAATACGCATGTGACGGAACTATACCATAATTGGCGCAAATATGTGATGAAACTACTGCCTTTCGTCTTCTTTCCTGAGTGTCTATGTGCACGAAACAAATCGAAGCTTTCAACTTCAAACGATCCGCCTCTGACCGCTTTATGTAGCCTGCAGTCTTGGAAACATAACACGCAACATTTGGACTACTTCCGTTAGCCATCCAGGAGCCCGACGTTGGATAACCTTTAACGAATTGAGCTGACATTCGGTGACACAATAATGAGAAAACCAGTGGTCTTTGTGTTTCTGTGCATCAGTACTACTTTCCAGACAGCATGAAGTTTTCTCCGTTTGTCAATTATTTTTCTTGTGATTATTTGAGAAAAAGCGCGTAAAGAAGAACCAGTCAAGGTTACCACGAATACTCGAATGAACATTGAATTGAACTCATTTTAAGGAATCATTGAGGTGGCATTAATTGTTTAGCGGACTAAATCTAGAGTTGATGTGGGAATGAACATACCAAGGACGCAGAGTAGCCTGACCAGGTTGTGATATATCAGGAGATCGAAACAGAAGAGATAGAGAAATCGAATAGATCACTCATGGAAGATTTCAGCGAAAGATGAGCTTAGGTGGATACGTTTTGCTCTTAATTTCAGGAGTTTTACCTGAGAAACGCAAGCCCTACTTACTTGAATGCTTCGGAGCGAAAAATTTAACAAACTGGGAAGGGCTTATCATGGATTGGGCACAAGAAAATGAGACCCGTTTTACTGTTAGCTGAAACGGATTTTGCATGTTCGGATAAATGGAAATTCGTCCACTTCAATGGAAAAAAGAAATTAAATGTGGACCGTCCGAAGGTGCGAAACATGTCTTGAGAAAATGCGAATAGCATTTCAATAAACCATGCGAGATGTTCTCTGACGGTATTTTTGAACCTAATCGATGGCATTCTAAAGCACATTTCCACCCAATCGTTCGCGATTTGCATGCATCCAATGAGATAAGCGAATCTTGGAGAGAATTAGCTGAGGGCTGCCCAGTCTAGGTGGGCGGCAGCTGTCCGGTCGTATACACAGTCTGCCCTCACAGTCGGGAAGAAGCTCCTATCTGCTAAAATTAGTTTCATTAGCATTCGTCTACCCCGAATTCGCACATAACACAGAGCACAGTTTATGTTTTAACCGTCAACACAACGAAGACCACACGAAAGTTGCTTGGCTACTACTGAATCTACCGTCATATTCGAAATGCATGCTTTCGTTTTGTCAGTATCCTGATCAAAACCTACCAAGGTTTTGCTGATGGTGAGCAAAAATACCGAACAGATAGGGTAAAGCAAATTGTCACTGGCATCCGCGCAGACATCTCTTTGTTCAACATTGTAAGACTTTAGGAGTTCGTTGAAGGTACTCGTTAAATTTCTGCGAATTTTCGGAAAACGTACCAAGCCTGTCGTCAGGGGACATCAAAGAATTCGACGAACTAACGTGACAAACAAAATATTAGGCTTTTCTCACACATTCATCAATAAGATTTGGTAACGCATAAGTTGTAGGTATATTCGACACCATTCGGACAGCAGCTTCCCTCTGGAGATTCACCACAATAACTGATGCTCCAAGTTACACTGAATATTTTGAAGTAGTATTTCCATTACTAGATGAGCTATGAACTCCTCTTTTTTCCCAAGTCACTATTTTAAAACCTGGTTTGTTCATTAGGCAATGCGCGCTCATACAAAAAGCCCTCGCTGCCATTACCGCACGGCAAAATAACTACATATATTCCTTTGGCCTTAACACGTCTGCATGATTGCGCTCCAGACTCTGACGTTAATTTAATTAAACAAATCTTCAGTTTGACATCTGACTCGCCAATAGTTGCCTCAATAGTTCTCCGATTGATCTGCTCTGTGTGTGCAGAAAACGGTGTATTAATTGATACTGTGTGTACTAAAACAAACCCCAATTAAAGTTATCCAGGCCTAAACACAGTGATAAATGGATCAGTACCCGCCGGAACCTGTGACCAAGTTTGTATTCAGACTATTGGGACTAACGTAACGTCTCATTTGTTTTCTTAGTCGAAATCGAATTCACGCATTGTGACCGTGTGATGACGCCTACGATCGGTCGCTAGTGGGGCGTGCAGGCCGCACCAACAAATCGATCCTGCCAGGATTGTTGTCTTTGTGCCGTCCCCTACGTCCTACGTGGGGTAGGACGAAAACCAACCGGCAGACCAGGCTTAGACATGCCAGGACGATAACCTTGTTCGTCGGCCAATCACAGAGGCGATGGATGGATCAAGGTCAAATCTGTAACTGCTGCCTGAGAAAACTGAACTTTGATTGGTTCAGTTGAGATCGGCTGTCGCCTTGGCTAGATCACGTGCGGTCAAACAAAGAACGTTGATCAGCCCGACTAGGGCGGATTAGCAGAGCATGCAAGTCGTGTGGTTGAGCGTGACGCCTTTGGCTTGACGCAGGAAACCATGTGGTTTTCGGTCGTTGCCGCAGCACTGTATCAAACTACTGTGGCCCCAAATGTTGACCTTGTCATAGATTCCACGGCCATTATTTGATGTACTATTTAGAACCCCATCCTGAGAGTATCTAGTTGGTCTAAGTTAGTCTCATGATAACTTCGATATTAATGGTCTTTTAAGCAAGTGAGTTTTGGGTTTGGAAAAATTCACCCCAAAACGTTTTTATGTAAGTTAGTCGTCTTTACTCGGTAAAATCTACCGACTGAGCTGTGACCCGGGAGTTTCAGCAGCTTCATCGAGGTACAAAGCATAATAGACAATCTCTAAGAATCGCTTTTTCAAGTTGGACGGAATAACTAAACAAAAAGAAATTCCTCAGCCCAGGATGCAAAGCGGTTAATTTTGACGACGAGCAAAAACGTAAGACAAGAAAAATGCTGATCACGCGGGAGAGTATTTGGAGTTTGACTGGATTGATTGCTTAGGTCTCTGGAATCCCCAGGATTCTTAATTTGGACGAAAGTTGTACCGTAAATTTCGGAATTGATACTTGGACCAAGCATACATGCCAACTGAGATTACTTCGTGTTTAGGTCTTCGTTTCTACTGGCATTGTTTACTGAGATAAACTACCTTCTCCTCAAACAATGTACCTCAGACCCGTGACTCCATACAGCCTATCCGGGACACGCCAAGGTGGTCAAACCAAGTCATACGTTTTTGTGAAACAGCCTCTTGTTGTGTGCGCGGAAACCATAGTATTCTTATGGTTAGACAGAAGTTCAACATAAATTATTTGACATCCGCATATTTGTCTGTTCTCCACATGATGCTCAGATAAGTGAGTATTGTCTGGCGTGCAATCGGAAAGTAAGAATCTGGTCATCGAGTAAATGTTTTCCATCGTTTCAACGACCGGGAAGCGGGAAATCACACAAAAGCTACTAGGGCTTACTTAAAATTCTCAAGGTCCTACCCATCAGTTGTGGTCAATCGCTCTAACCAACCACTGTGTCTCATCGACTGAACGAACATGGATTTTGATTAGGTAAGCACAGTGTTGTTGTTCTGTTAACTGAATGATACGAAAAATATCGCCTGGAGTAGGTAATTAGGCTTGTGTTTGGGGTCTAGATAATAGAAATCGATCATTTGTACCGAAAAAACCGTGTTTTCCTAGGTGTGGGGGTTCTAACCAGATGGGAGGCGTTTGTTTGCATTTAATAACACGGTCACCGTAATCATCTGTAATACCATCATACAAATAAAGAACAATTGCCACGAAATAAAAACAGATTGGCAAGAAAACTGGATAACTTTAATCAGCCACGGTATGGTAACAGTATGTTTGAATACAACGAATATTCAACTTCAAATGAGTCCATGATAATCTAAAGTGAATCAGTCATTTTGGTTTTACTCGACAATGCGCTAGTTCTGCTTTGGCAACCATGCATACAGGTCACTTGTCGGACCGCGTATGTATCAGTCAGTCACTCTGTCTGTCTGGACTAAAATGATTTCATTGTAAACAAATAAAAGTACAGTTTTGTTCAAAATGAATCGCATGAAATTTTTATACATATGCAAATAGTTGGTACTCCATTACGCAGTCTTGTCGGGAAATGTGGTATTTTGTCGAGGTTTCGGTCACCACAGTTGCGGATTGTCGCGAGAAATGTCACCACTGCACGACATGGATTAATCGCGATTCAGTAATTGGAGTCCCTCTGAAAATCGGCTACTGGTGTAACCAACACTGAAACAAAGGAAGAAGGCCACAAAATCGGAACGATTAGTTCAATGGAGGAATTCAAATAGGTCAAGTGGTACAGGAGCGCGTTATTCAGTCAGCTTCCGAGTCCCTCTGGTCAAGACATTCCTGAATATGCTCCAATGACTGATTTATACAGAGCGTTTTTTTTTCAATATTCAATAGGAAACGGCAACCGTGGCTTCCAGGCCAACGTCATCTTGTAATTTTGGATCACCACAGATACCGATGTCTCCAGGACATCAACTTATCACCATTTCTTCCGAACACAGTTTGTTGGATATTATATATATATATATATATATTTACAATTTTGTCATAGAGTTTTTGAGAAAGATGGAGTTTTAAGTGGAGTACGTGTACGGAATGAATGTCTCGGTTTACATGAGGTCCTTGACTGTTGAAATCTACCGACCCAGAGAAGTAAATCGCAATAATGAGCAGCACACTCAAACACAAAGTCCTCATTGTATGCATGATCTTCAAACAAGTTACGTAATGTTGGAATCAGCGGTGCAATTTATATCATGCAATTCGCACTGAAGAACTCAATCTCCCGGATAATCGTTTCTCATTTGCAATCTTCCCCTACTCATCCCCCCTCCCCCGCTTGTGGGGTCCCTGTAGCAAGAGAAGCATGTTCGTCGCATCGAAGCTATGCAAGCACAGTTGCGACGATTCGAGGATGAAGCAGCGAATCTGAACAAGGTGTTAGATGAACAACGTGCCGGGTTGGAAGAACGAGATCGTCTGATACGTCAGTTACGATCGAATCAGGTACTTGTTTTTCCCCTTTCCAGTCAGAACGATAAGATCTTGCTGTTCTGCATCAATACATTGTGCTATCCAACTTGATATTTCTTTGGAGAGAGGTATCAGAAAAAGTGACCAATTCTTGTATGATGCTCTACCGGCCCCTTAAATTCGTGGTATCGAGACACAAGTTTATTTGAGTAAATTCACCAGAATAAATAACATGGATAATAAAACCTCATTGGTCCATGTCAGTTTATCTAATCCAAGTTGATATTTTCACTCGTATGATATTCTTGTTCAAACCGAAATTAAACTCATTGGCTCTGGTTGTAGTTGGGAAGATAGCGTATCTGTTGTCAACTCACAATGTCACAATGTCATCATGCTTTTACAGTTGAATAAAGAGGAGTAGAAAATATCAGGTTGATCATCCACCTGCATTTCTCCATAAGGATAGATTGAGAAGGCATTAAAATGGGAAGGATTGAGGCAAGTCTTCACGGCAGATTATGGAATGTCAGGAGAGGGTGGTATTAACATCACCCTAGTTGAAAACATATACGTGTAAATGATTAGGCGATAGGTCATCCGAACCAAGAGATCGTGAATTGCGGTTTGTTAAGACCGAATTCCAATTGCGACGCAATGCACATTATTTTTAGAGACCCGTAACCCAACACTAAAAATCAGAGCAAACAAGAGAGTGTGCTGATCGGAGCCGAGCTAACGACTTAATGAATGAGCATGAGAATAAATCAATCGATTGAACGATGGCCTAAAACTGGATCATGCTGGCTCACGGACAAAACGGATCGGACGCTGTCATTGTCTATCATGAACAACTGTGTCACGTGATTAAACTAGCAATGGGAACTGATAGACGAATGCGTACGTAATACTGTTGTAGTGTAGTATTTGAAAAGAAGACCGCATAACTCGAAAACTGAAAACGTGATCTATGTTATCAATGACTATTCTCTCTCCCTCGATCTGTCACTCGGCTTGGTAACTAAAATTTACCTTGTCGTACTTTATCCAGTTCGCATTGTCCTGTGGTCATTTATTCAACTTGAAAATAAAACATATGTGCAGTTATAGGTCAGAATAGATAATCTTGAGGGTCAAAGAATGCGCGCAGCAAAAGCTCACAAGCGGATACGTCGGTAGTTTTCGTAAAACGAGTGGAAACGACAGCGGGGTTCGAACCAATCAACGTTTCCCAAAACGGGATCAACGTTCCCCACAGGCACACAACTGTTGAAGGTTCCTTCTATTGCATACACAAACAAATCGGTTGTTTCGAGAATGCCACACAATTATGCTGATCCGTGAACCTCCAGGATTCCAATGAAGTTACGGAAATCTTGTCTACGGAGTGCTTTTTGTTCGACCACAGGATCATAAGTTAACAAACAAACAAAGTGAGAGGAAGAAAAGCCGGGGCTATAACCGGGTTGGTGGACCACTGGTAGTTCACCTAGAGGAGTTGGCCAAAAACCCTGATTCCAAACCAACCAAGAGGAGGCGTACGAACCACACACACAACTTCCTGGTTGTGGCAGTGGTCACCAAATCGATTGGACGTCAGGGTGTATTGGGCACCTTAGACGTTTGACCCCAATCAAAGGGCGTATGATCCGATGAACTGGACACCGGACCCCCAATTGATTGCAGTTTTCACACGCCGCCCGGATGCCTTGCCGGTCGGGCTTTTGCTAGCCAAAAACATCGGTTGAGTTCTTCAAGAAAATTCACCTGCATTGGCCTGGACAGCCTGGCAGTATTCAGCCCACATGCAATTCATGGAACGCTTTTCTTTTTATCAAGATTATTGTAGCATGATTTGTTTGGCGCACAGTCTGGTGTCAGATGAATATATATATATATATATATATATATATATATATATATATATTGGCGCTTCATTGATCAATTAAACAGAGATTGTTGTAAAATAAATCAAACACGGGAGAGTAGAAACCAGTAAAAAATAGCCATTTGAGATTAACGCCAGGCAGCGACGTGTTGTGTGTGTATGCGACCGATTAACCAAAGTGAACTGCATTACCCGATGGTGGTTGGACAGTCCAATATTCCTTCGAACCGTTTCTGATCCCTTCCGGTGTAAATTGATTTCCAGGGTCAGGCGTCTTCGGTCGAGTTGGAGAAATTGCGAACTGAGCACGCCCACTGCAAAGAACAGTTTGAACAACAGGCCAAACGGATCAACACCTTGGCCGAGCAAATCGAAAGTCAGTCAGATGAGATTCTTGCGATTAAGTAAGTTGGTAATCGTTCCAATCACGCTGGTTCACACTATTTGAATGAAATACTCACTATTAGGACTGAAGCGGAAGGCGTATGAGTTTTCTCCTTTTCTGCGAGGAGTAACTCACTGGGTGGTGAAAAACTATGCTGTCCGCTTCACGATTCAAATGCAGAGAATTCTTGACATTCTTTGCCAGTATTGATCAGCATGAAATCGCTATGAATTTCCCTATGAGTCGAGCAACTTAGAAGTTCAGATAACTCGGCACGTGACTGGTAGTATGCTTCATCATTGTGTTTAAATTGTGAATATTAAAGGTCGGTGTGTTTTGTAACCACTTGAATACTTTTATCTTTCATCTGGGAGTGAGATTATTAACATTTCGCACTTCCAAAGGCACGTATTCCAGGACGAATCAGATTGACAAAGTTATGATAAAAATCTGGTTGGTTTAGCGATACACTGAGGATTTGTATCGTCATCGTATCAAATTTGATCGATCTGTGTGGTTTAATAATCGAGGAATTGTTGAAAAAACGGTTCGGGGTAGGTGGCATTTCGTGCATTATACTGCGTCGATTATGTGAGATCTGCGACACACCATACCACCCAAAAATTTTCACGAGCTGTTCTTCTACTGTGATTTTCGTTCACCTTATTCATGCTCGCCGGTCAATCCATCCATCATTCCACTCCTTTCCGCACTTTATCTCACAGATTGGAAGCCCTGACCGCTTCACTGTGTGAGAAGGAAGCGAACATTGCTTTGATGGAGTTGACAGCTCCAAAGAATGCGGCCTCAAATCAGGCACTGGAGAAACTCCGCACAGAACGAGATCAATTACAGACCCAGCAACGACAACTGGTATGTGTTATCCAATACTGTTACCACCTCACTGCTTCACCCATAAAACACTGATGGAGCCTGTCAACGGTCACGAGTTGTGTTCGGGGTAGACTGATTCGTAAAATCGTGCACATTTTTGCGTGTGACGGACAGACTGGTTTACTTTGAGCGACTGTTTTACACGCACTTGTCTCAAGGTTGAATCACGGGAACTGACAGTCACATGAGAGGAGACAGTCCCGTGGCGGTTCATAAACTTACCAAGACACAGACGTAAATTTCCGGTGGATTTCGTGTTTGGTCGATTGCATTAAAATGTACTGTGACAAGCATGCTCGTTTTCCGCTGGTAATTATCTAAACCAAATGTTAAATAATTTGAGAGTAGACTATAGGGGTGAAATGCGAGTTCACATTAGTGAGTTACTCTCACGAGTTTACCCAATGGCCGTTCGTAAGTCACAGTACGTAACTGAATTAGTGTCAGATGACCAAGGTTGTTCAATTGGATTCCGGTATAATCCTTGTTGCTGAACTTTGACCTGTGATCAAAATCCTCTAATTTTGTGTTTGGGTTGGGATGACTTTTTTCGGTTACGTAATTGGCAGTAAAACGTGTCTTACTCTCGAACACTCCGCTAACAAGCTATTTTTGATGATAATCCCGAATACGGTCGATCAGGTTGCTGATAAGGTAGCAGGTCAACATAAACCGAACTTGGACTGACGTGCACAAATCACCCCAAGACTGCATACATCCATGAAATCTAGGATAAGACTACTCGATAAATTGACCTTTCAACTGAACATGCGGAATACGTGTTTGTTTTTGTCCATTCACGCGACCACTCTATTTCCGAGGTTATATTGATTTTGCAATGTCTTTTCGCCTAACCAGATCAGTGTTAATCCGTGCATGTGCAGGACCTAGTGACCACAGAACACCGGCTGAACTGAAAATACGATCGATAAAAAATACTTCCAGTCTGGCAGTAACATGTGTTGACCTAGATTGGATTTGTTCCAATTAGTAGGAAGCCCGAAAAGATGACCGATCGGACGCTTAGGCCCACGAGTACATTAGTTGTCAAACACCAAGCGCTGACATGGTGCATGATACACTGCACTGAACAATACGATTATCCATGGTCCCTTGGCTGACAGACATCCTTTTGAAACTACAAATAAGGTCATCAATAGGATCAACTCGATACTGATAATTCACTTCTCGTACCTGTGTGATTCCATTTTATTTTTGCTTGATCCTTTTCAGAGTAACACACGTGCCATGTTAGCGGAAGAACGTAAATCACGAAAGTAACCAGGGCTTCAAGATGCATTCCCATCTCATGGGCGATAGAGGCTGGGACCATTTCGGTATTTCTTATCTTCATTCGGTCATTCGAAAACAGACCAATGGAAATGCTCCATTTTCACCACACACACACACTATCTGCTCCCGTTCTCAGCTTCATCTTTTTGGTACACAATCAACACCAGCGCTGACAACAACAATTAACCAATATTCTTATCGAGAAGAAGCGAAAGGAATACTTGAGAACGTTTCTCGTCCATGACCGGAAACAGTACAGTCAGTTACTTTTGAATACACTGGCTCCCACTCGACCCGGATAACTGAGGACTGGAATTGCTCCCATCCCCCACCCCCGAAAATCGATAGATCTGACAGCTTAATAATAATTAATTGCATTTTACATTCCCCAGTTCAATGGCTATTGTGATAAAATATAACAGTGCAGGAATGCCGGGCCGAATAGTTAATGTTGTGATTATTTTTCCGCTTCTTGACTGTACAGAATCTTTCTGGCTATGCTCCTTTACAGTGGAATGAATCTTTCGGTGTTTGAGGTCTGTTTCCCACTTTCCTTCAACGATACAGTTCCAGAAATACATATATATTTACAAATATACCCACCCACGAAAGCATATATCTTGTTGATTATTTTACTCTTCGTCACCTCCACGGCTCCCATTCAACACAATCTTCCCACTCCCTATCTTCTTGCAACACAGCCTGGCAACAAAATTCCGTGAAATGGATTTTCAAGTGACCAGAAGAATGTAATGCTTATTCTCTGCTTCTCGTTCGTTTCTTTTCGGACACACGGATTCTCTTTATTCGTTCACCGACTGTTCTGTTAAATTAGACGAACACCCACTTTTTGAACGTAGCCACNAACGAAACTCGGTAACTACTTTTTCACGCATTACCCGTTTATGTATTCTCCACAATAAGAATATATATATATATATAGCACTTCATTTCACAAACCCTGGACCGTCCGATAGCTTTTCTGATCTGATCAGAATTGTTGTTGATTAAGGAGCAAGTTGGTAGCAGGATGCTACTGGTGCAATAAATATAAATACATGCATACCTTATACTAATGTCGATTCTCTCTTGGTCGATGTCTTACCCCACGAACGGTACCGTATTGATGACTACACTGGTTTCAAATTGTGAAAGCTACTGCACAGCTTACGGATCCTTTTTCACAATCTCCGCTATAACTAACTAATTAACACGGACCTATAAACCCGGCGTTAATCCGACCTCGGTTGGGAACTGTGCGGACGTGTTGACCAGTTGGCTCGACCGATTAATGAGGCCCACGGTGAACTCCGTCCATCGCGAGTCAGCAATGGAACTGACGGGTCGAGTGCTGAACCACTTTGGCTCCTAGTGATCATGGTTGATCGATAGGCCAGGGTTAAGATGTCTGCTGCACCAAATAACCTGGATTGCACGAGTTAAGTGACTCGACCTAATACAAGGATTGCCTAATTTTTCTCATAAGGATTGTCCACAAAGCAAACTCAAAAAGAAACTCCGAGTTTCAGTCCACTCATTGCTACTGGTCACCGGCAATTCAGCGATTCATCAGTGCATGTGATCTGCGAAGTAACTTCCTAATTTACTGATTGCCTGCGATGACGGACAATGTATAAGATTCACGCCGGCAACGATTATCGGGCCAATCACAGGAACGTTCACGAACACNCCGAATTAGCAACTGGCAGTGACAGCAAACAACCGGGTCAGCGAACCAATGGCATTTATTCTGGCGGAGTCGCAAATACACACTAATCCCACAACAACCAAAAGGCATGACACCCCAGCACGTACGTCTCAGGTTGGAGGGCTTACGATCCGATGAAGGAGACCCCACCAAGAATCTCGCACGGCACTGCTGCCTTACTGTCAGTCAAACGCCCGGTTGAACCCCTTCTAAAACTTCACCTGCATGGGCAAGTCCTGCCTGTATTGCACCAGCAAGTAAACCAAAGAACGTTCATAAAGTGACTCATTCGGCACAGCCAATACTGGAGCGCGTGGAAATATTAATACAATGGGAATTTATTCCCGCGCCGGCCTCAGCTCATCCTGAAGATCCATCACCATAGCGTGAGCCTGTAGCCTCCAACTGAAGTGACTCAACAACCACGTTGCGACGCCACCCGCCAATACCTGGCTAAGCCACCGGGTTAAATCGCACGACAAACTGTCCGCGACTACTGCGAGTTGACGGCCCGATCCGCTAAGCCCACCTGCGTCCCTAATAGCAATCAGGAAAAAAACACCCATTAGAAACATACTATCCGATGAGCGAGCGCGCTAGCAATCAACAGCACCACAAGACCAAGAGCAGAATCCAGCAGCATCGGATGAAAGCGACCTCTACAGTCACGGAAACACCGACCGCGAACAAAGCTCTTAGGTACCCATTTCAACGTTAAAATAACATGGTTGTGTAAAATATTTATTCAATGACAAACTCAAATCAGTCTAATAATCCTCATCTTCGACCTCATCACCGACGCTATCCAAACCGACTTCTTCGTAATCTTTCTCCAAAGCAGCCAAGTCTTCGCGAGCCTCCGAGAATTCACCTTCTTCCATGCCTTCGCCGACATACCAATGTACGAATGCGCGTTTCGCATACATCAGATCAAACTTCATGTTTAACCGCGCCCATGCCTCGGCAATCGCTGTTGTGTTGCTCAGCATGCAAACGGCCCGTTGAACCTTGGCTAGGTCACCGGAAGGCACAACTGTGGGGGGCTGATAATTCAAACCCACCTTGAAGCCGGTAGGACACCAATCAACAAACTGCACAGACTTCTTGGTTTTGATGTTCGCGATCGCTGCGTTAACATCCTTCGGGACAACGTCACCGCGATACAGGAGGCAGCACGCCATGTACTTGCCGCGACGGGGGTCACATTTCACCATTTGATTGGAGGGTTCGAAACACGAGTTTGTGATCTCGCCAACCGTGAGCTGTTCGTGATACGCCTTCTCTGCAGAGATGATGGGAGCGTAGGTGGAGAGAGGAAAATGTATGCGTGGATATGGTACCAGATTGGTCTGGAATTCCGTCAAGTCCACATTCAGCGCACCATCAAAACGAAGGGATGCCGTAATGGAACTCACTACTTGACCGATGAGACGATTCAAGTTGGCGTAAGTCGGTCGGTCGATCGCCAGATTGCGTCTGCAAATATCGTAAATTGCCTCGTTGTCAACCATGAAGGCGCAATCGGAGTGCTCCAAGGTTGTGTGCGTTGTCAGAATAGAGTTGTATGGCTCAACAACGGCCGTAGCGATATGCGGAGCTGGGTAGACAGCAAACTCCAGCTTCGCTTTCTTTCCATAATCAACAGTCAACCGTTCCATCAGAAGGGAAGTGAAACCTGAACCGGTGCCCCCACCAAATGAATGGAAAATCAGAAATCCTTGTAGGCCGGAGCATTGATCGTTCAGCTTCCGGATACGATCGAGAACCTGATCGATCACCTCTTTACCCACCGTGTAATGTCCACGTGCATAGTTGTTGGCAGCATCCTCTTTGCCGCTAATTATTTGTTCTGGATGAAACAATTGGCGGTAAGTGCCGGTGCGAATCTCGTCAACAACAGTTGGTTCCAGATCCACAAATACAGCACGCGGGACATGACGCCCAGCGCCAGTC